CTGTTGTCTCCCTAAGAAAGAATCAGTCTACCTGTGCAGATATGTTGGTTAGTGTTGGTGGCTGTGAAAACAAATCTTCAGCATAGTTAGATGTTAAATTTTGAGGTAAGTCCCTGGAAAAATACTTCTCCAAGACTTTCTACTGTAAATGTCATGGACATCATTCATTTTTTAGTAGTTGTATTCTTGAGAAGTCATGTTATTTCTTCTGGAAATTAGCTACCTATCTATTTTAGCCAAGGGATTCTACAGTTTCCACAAAGTGGGGTTTGAACTGCTTAAAGCTTTTGGAGAGTGGATCCTTCCCTTCTGCTTTCACTGTTGATTATGCTTGCTTTATTATTTTCCCCTGTTTTGAAGTGCATCTGCAATCACCTTTTACTATGATTAAGAAAGAAAGAAGAACAAAGTAAAAATTATTATGCTAGATGTAAAGACAATATCTTACTATTTTATAGCTCCATTTTAAAGCAAAAAGAAGCCTCTATTATTTTTCTAGCTATGGTTTTAGAAAAGAAAGCTGACAGGAGTAGCCAATCCTAATCACCAGGTGAGTAACCAAACCCAAACCCGTGGCTCATTTTCCTGGTGAGTATATTTATCTTGTCTTTCTATTTCTTGAAAACATAAAAAAAAAAGAAAATATTGGTAAAAAACTGATCCATTTAAAATCCACAGTTCAAGGCATAATCTTTCTATATTTCCAGATAACATTGAAACAAACAAAATATATTTTTGCCATTAGATGAGGGGTTTTGCTAAATACATATTTTACAATAATTTTTTGTAGCTTAATTAAATATTTAAATTGTCTTTTTACTTCCATTTGGAATTTAAGCTTTTACTGGATCCAGTAAAAAACAGTAGGTCAAAGAACGAATTTTGAACTGGGCTCTAATATTTTCCTTTTTTTCCCATTAGTCACAAGCAGCATAGGTGAATACAGATGGAAGGAATGACACCTTGAGATCTTTTTAAAACTTAATTATCCTATCAAGTGAAATACAATAGCTAAACTCCTAAGGATTAAAAACTTCATGACAGATTATCTCAAGGAAAATGAAAAAATAGGAACTTTCATGCATTCCCTTTCATGAACAAACAACACCAGGGATCTCAAATATCTGTCAGTTTGTTCCAGGGTTACATTGGTGTTTGATAGTAAACTTAATAAAGGGAAGAAAGGATTGCATCATTCCCAGGAAATTTTGATGCCAACTCAAGGAGAATAGAAAGGTATAGGAGTTGCTTAGAAGAAAATTTTGTTAAAATATGATTAATTCAAATCTTATTAGGGTGAAGTTACAATAGACAGAATACGAAACATATTTCCTGGGGAACAGAAAGGAGGAAATAAAATTCAGTAGATGTACTAAATTGTAACAGCAGCCAGGAAACAGGTTTTTTTTTTCTCTCCCCTACTAAGCAGAGTGCATTGGCAGCGGAGAAATGAAAGACCAAGTATCATCACTGAAAACTCAGCAGACTGTGTATTTGTTGTCTCTTGAGTGCAATCATAATACGTGTAAGATGGGTATGAGAGTAGGCACACTAACCAGTATAAGTGCTTTTTTTCTGTGTTTATTCTTTTGACGTTTTAAAGGGGAATTGCTTTTATTTTTTTAACTAGGACAATGGTTTGAGTCAGGATTTGCTGTTCACAGAAAGAGCCCATGTAGGACACTTCGCTATGAAGGTTTCATAGTAAAAACAGTATGGTTTGGGTTTCAATTAGGAAGCCATTATTTTAGAGACAGTTAAAATACTTGTGGGATTATGTTACCACAAAATTATCTTTTCAAAATCTTTTTAGGATCTTTTCAAAATATTCCTTTTTCATGTTCACACTTCAGAAGAATAATGTTAGTGTCATTTTGGATTTTTCTTAAGTACTTATTTTTTATTTATATCCATTGTTAAATACAGCAAACATAATTTTTTATTCATATCTAACTGAACTCATGATCAATAACATTAATTTTGTGAAATTTTGGTCAAAACAATGCCACAGATTAATAATCAATGAAACGTAACAGTCAGTTTTAAATTGCTACATTATATAAACGTACATTATTAAGTACAAAATCTTCCTTCAGTTGAAAACATGCAATTTTAGCCTTTTTGCCTTAAAAAACCTGGCAAAGCAGAAAGAATATTTGATATGGAAAGGTTTAACTCACACAGGAAAACACTTGCCTGCATAATTGTGAATACATGAAAGAATTCTGTGTAGGTGAAAAAAGTTGAAATGATTTGTCAAAGTTTTACTTAATGGTTTTAAGCTAAATGTTGACATTACCTTACTAAATCTCACAGTATATTACATTAACAGCTGCCCTATTTCAAGCGGGATAGAGTTACTTTTCTTCTTAGCAGCCAGTACATTGCTGTGCTTTGCATTCACTGTGAGAATCATGCTGGTGGCACAGAGATGTTTGGGATGTTGCTCAGCAGTGCTCACCCTGAATCCAGGACACTTCAGTGTCCTGTGCTCTGCACTGATCAGGTGCCCCAGAGGCGGGGGGAGCAGGGCCAGGAGAGCTGACCTGACCTGGCCAAAGGGATGTTCCATGCACAGAACAACATGGCCAGGGTGTGAACTGGGGGGAGCTGGCTGGGAGAGGCCAGGAGCTGCTGGGGGATGGGCTGGGCATCGGCCAGCACGTGCTGAGCACACATGTCACTCGTCTCCCTGGGGTTTTATTCCTCTCTCTTTTTCTTCTCCATCATCATCATCATCATCATCATCATCATCATGCTTAATTTCACTTATAAAACAATCCTTAACACATGAGTCTCAGACTTTTTTTCTGATTTCTTTGCCCATCCCAGCAGGAGGAGGTTTGTGGGAAGTGGGTGCATGGCTTTATGGTATCTAGTTGCTAGTGGAGGATAAATCAGGGCTCAGCCATCTCAACTTCTAATAAGGTCTTGCAAAATGCCTCATCAATAAACTCTGAGAAGTTTACTAAGGCAGGGATTCTTTTTCAGTGCCCAAAAGAACACTAAACTTTTCAATTGACAATCCCAGTTTGTTCTCATGTGGTTTTTTGGGTTGCAAGGCTGCTAGAATTTAAAATATATTGAATTTGAAAAGTTGTTTTTTTGTTTTTTTTTTTTTAACAAAAACTTCTGTCCTGTAAGTAATTCTGATCTTTAAACATTCCTTTGCAAACTATTTGGGACTATCAGTTCAAAATTCTTTTGTAGAAAAACAACTTTGTAATTTTAAAATTGAAAGTGAGTTCCAATCACCAAGATGAGGGATTTTATTGCCATCACAATACAATTCCACAAATATGGAATATTCTTCCATTTCTGAAGACATGTTTTAATTAGGATCTGGTCCAGGATCCTTATATTTATTAAAACACAGATTCATTCTGAACCAGGTGAAGAATTCCAGTTCTGAATTCCAAGATAAAGTGTGGTTGCAGAACTCCTATAAAGGACTGTCTAAGCTCTAGCAAAAAGAAACTTGGGGCATCTTGTTTAAACTTTGGTCACAGAAGAGAACAAGAGGATAAATAGAATAGTACAAAATTGCCTAAAGTTCAACTTATTTAATTTTCCTTTTTCCATTTTAAAAAAGATGGAATATTTTCCTTCAATTTTTTTAGGAATATTGTAAAATTTAAACAAATTAAATAATTGTTCAATCTTTTGTTTATTCTGCATTGGCTAATCAGAGAACACATTTTCTGCTAATAGCCACAGTATTTATGCTACTATATTCCTGATATACAGCCAAAAAAGGATCTTGTTTCTAACAATATTTGGATAGTTATCTTTTTCCTACAAACTTATTGGTATCTAGGCTCTATCCCAGAAAATTTCTATCAAGAGTCTGCAGTGCAACATGAAAATCACAAAAAAAGCATACTTTCCCCTTTTTTTTTTTTCCCAGAAAAGCAAATTTTTGAGTTCTCACATTTGTTTTATTCTCCTTCCTGTGCAGTATTATTGTTGTGACATCTGAGTGCCATATGAACCATTGAGCAATGTTTCATTTTCATTCAGCGCTGCAATATCACTCCTAAAAGACCTATAAAGTAAAGACACATAAAGTAATTTCACAGGCAGTTTCTAATATCTCACAAAAATAAAAACTCCACTTTGATTATCATGATAAATCTGTCACAAAAGCACACTACTAAATGGTGCCCACTGACTGTAACTAAAATATTATTCAGTCTGTCATTTGAAGACATAGTGATGGATAAGCAATATCTTCTACACACACACACACAACAAAACAATAAAGATTCATAAGATGGCAGGTTAATTATTGGAAACTACTTCTTTAAAAATGCATACTGTTGGAGCCCACCTGTACTATTCTGATCTGATAAAATGCTGTTGCCAGTATTACCTCTGTTGCCCCCAGAGTGCTGCATGGGAACTGCAGAACACTGCTAGACGACTAGAAAATCCTTTGCCACTTATTTTCTTCCAGGCTTTTCCACAAGTGGAATTAGCTTTGCATTGGTGTTACAGGGAAAAATGCTAGAAAACAATCAGTTATCAGAAAGATGGCACTCAGACATTGCAGTTGTTTGTCAAACTTTGTAAACTGAATATTATGCAAAATGGAAAGTCAGATTTAATCTCAATTTCCAGGTAAACTTGAGGGTGAGGAGTAAAGTTTTTTGAAAAATAAAAACTAATGAGACTTCTGACCTCAAATTTACAGGAATAAAAAGTATTTTTCATTATCAATATTTGGATCCAGCGCTCAAATATCTCATCAAAAAGGAAACAAACAAAGCAAATTTGTGTCCATTTAAACTCATATTCTAACTGCTAGAACTGTCTTTTAAAGAAATCTATTTACATACAAAAACTGTCATAAACATAGTGATAATTTGCTCAAAATAACTACATGTTAATAACCAATAATAATTCTTTTTCTTATTATATATTTATTAATATCATTACTTATTCAGAGAAATCTGTCAGTACATAATCAAACAGACTGGAATGAACAAAACTACCTGGGCAAGAGTCTCCAATATTCTTCTAGTAGCAGGCTAGAGCTGACTTGGGTGTAAGCAATGGAGAGTGGGGGGAAAAAAGCAGAAATATATATTTATGTCATCCATCACCTCAGCAGCCTGGGAGCTTCCAAGAGTTCCTGGTAGACATTAGGTTTGTTTCTCCCTGAGGAAAATTGAAAAAGTTAACATTTGCTCTCTCGCTTTTAATTCAGCTGTTGCAGCGGAAAAAGACAGACATACATAACATGGACTTTATTCCTATAAGGTACCAAGTATCTAGGAAAATATACATTTCTCAGTAGACTGTAAAATATTCTGGTTTTCAGATAGTGGCTTAAAATCCTAAATAATGCAAAAATACCAAGTCATATACAACACGACACAACAGAGTTGCAGTAGCCAGAATAATTCCCATATAATTTTGACTTCACAGCTTGTATTTCTTGCAAGCAAGCTAAATTCCACACTGATAAGGGTGCAGTAAAACTTTATACCTTGTATTTCAAACCATACATCTACAATTGCACCAAATGCTTTGTAAGCCAGTCATCACATCCTGTGCTTCTCTGTCTTAAGCTGAATGACAGACAAATGTCTCCAGCCATGCAGGCACTCATTAATGTACAGCTAAAGCCACCACACTGCAACCTAGAAACGATGCAATGCAAAAATGAGACCTCTGAAAGCCTGCGTAACCCAACAAGCACATCTACCAGGAGCTGTTAGTCAAATAAACAAGCAGCTCATTAGTTTCTTATTGCTGGTCCTAAATGCATGAAACTCTCTGAGAGAAAACAAGGCACAGTAGTCACAATCTGTCTGGGTCTGCTGAATCCAATCAAAAGGACTTGGAGAGTACATGTTGGTGCTGTGAGACTGAGGAATGCAAGTGGAGACACAGGGGCTGAGGAACCCTCCACAGTCTGTTTTGAACCTGCTAATGTGCTCTGCTCACTTAATGGCATCTTATAAAACACCTGGTCTCAAACACTCAAATATTGATTCAGTATATGGAAATCTGCTATTACACTAGTGCTGTTTCTAGGAACAGCTTATGTAAACAAAGCTGACATGATTGTGCCATATGGTTTTATTTCTGGAGTGCTCTGACTACATTTCTTAGGGGGAGGGGGAAATTGATTGGAGTGATTTATAGGTCCCCCTCACTTCCTTCAAGGTGGATGATGACTAAGCTGAACAAGCCACGAATTTTGGTGTCCAGGTTCATAAGAGTTGTTGGTTAATGGTTAACCTAGTGACAAATCTCTGCTGTGCATTCACGTGTGACTCCAGTGAGTGGGTGATAAGGGCTAAATCCTCCATAGAGTACAAATGTGCAGGCTGAAAAGGAAGTGCGTTTTACAGGTTCTGTGTGCTTTTGCCATGCCACATTTACCGCATATTAGTGAAGGCAAATACAGGGAAATGAGAGGGTTTGAAGGGACAAATAAGTTGTGTTCCTTTCACAAATAGCAGTAGCAACTTGAGTATTGTACCTGGGTAAAGAGTGAAGCTTCAGGCTTTGGGTTAAGTTTGAAATTCTGAGGAATTTAATCAGCTTGAATATGCTGTTTGTCCTGACATGCCTTCCTCACCAGCCTGACTCAGGCCCTGCTCTCTCAGGTTGTCTCAAAAAACTGCCATATTCCTGCCACAAGTCTTTTATGATTTGATGGATTCAGTTATATCAAGATCAAGAATCAGCGGAGTCATGGGGATATGAACATCCCATGTGACATGAACTGCATTGCAATCAGGAAGTGAAAAAGGTGTATGCACCTGCTTGACTGTCCTCTTCCTTTGTTCTGTGTCTCTTCATCACAAACATCTGAACCCTGAAAAATGGTTTTGTTCAAATGAGTTTGACTCCCTATTCTCTTCACAGGCCTTTTGCTCACATGGCTATCTGGGTGCACTTCATCTCCATATTTCCTCTAAGGAGTTACAAAATAGACAAGAGTATTCAGCTACCAGAATTACAGAGACACAGCTGTGCAACCGTCTCCTTGCCCATATTACAAATAAGCCATCTCTTAAATATTTGTACCACTTCTCTATTTTGGATTGGTTGCATTGTACCTATCTAGGGGCATACTAGATGGTCTCAATTGCTCTCCATTTGATGTTGTTAATTGTACACCTGGTACTTATCTATTTTCCTCCTACCTATGCAGTTTGTCAGACATGGGGAGGGAGGAGCACGAGCACTGTTATGTGTGGAGCTTAGGCACACTTGGCAAGATTAAAACTTAGGCTGGCCTGTCCCTCTTAACTTTCATATCATGTAAGTTCTAAAACACCCTAGGATGTCATATTGCAGATATGTAAATCACCACATCAGATTGGATTAACAGCCCATTTTGTCAAAAGCCTCCTGCTATAGAAATATCAGATGCTTTAACAGAAACAATCCTGCAATAAACAATTTTTCATGTTTAAACAGAACATTTCAGTCAACCCAGTGGTATTTATACATTACCAGGATGTACCAAGTTCTGCTGACTCATTTTGCTTAGTGAAGGCTATCTCCTTGTCTTACATTGCAATTAATAGATTCTGTGCACTTACATTTACAGAAGAGATTGAACATGTGTTACATGCCTTACCACTGTCCATTATTCTGCAATTTTTCCCTTTCTAGTTTCGGGGTTTTTTTTGTTTTTTTTTTTTCCCCAATGGGAAGATCTCTTCAGTTGGTTTATTTCAGGTTTGGGTTTGGTTATGTTTTTTGGGAGGTTTTTTGGGGTTTTTTTTTTTGTGTTTTTTTGTGGGTTTTTTTTTGTTTGGGTTTTTTTGTTGTCTTTTTTTTTTTTTTTGTGATTTCTTTGTTGTTGTTTGTTTGGTTTTGGTTTTGGGTTTAGTGGTTTTTTTTGTGGAGAATTTTTCTAATTTCCTTATTAGTCTTACTTTGAGATTCTGCCAACGAGTAGTATATACTTTTCAGCCAGAACTGATACAGGTTGAATCCAATATTAAATATTAAATGACACTTTTCTTATACATGGTACTATGGATTTTAAAATCTCCTGCATGCTTCTCTAAGCATATTCTTCCCCTTATTTATATGATTTTTAAACCAATTTTAATATATTCTAATATTTTTAAGGTGGCACTATAGATGGAGTGGGTTTAAAATGCAAAAAAAACCCATTATTTATTTGCACACTCCCTGTGTTTTAATATCTTGACTATAAACTTTAACTAAGGCCTTGTTTTCTCCTTTCCCACTACCAAGCCATGCAGCAGGAAAAACATCAGGGTTTTCCTCTTCCCTACATCTAAAAACAGTTTACAGTTGTAGAGAATCTGCTGACTTACCCTGTGTGGAAGTGAAAACCAGAACAGTGCTTCCACATTAGGAAAGCCCTTGTCTCTTAAGGCTGTGGGGTCAGAAACACCAGACTCTGACATTTCTTCCACACAACTGTATGTCCTGGGCCAATCCTTTATATACATTCCTACTGCTTTTCTTCCGCTCCACCATTCCATGGCTGACCAGCTTTATCTGGTGGGCTTTTTGTGCTGAGAAGGAAGCAGTGAAAACAAGCAGAGAAGCTGAGAAATCTCAGTTGCAGCCCTTCTGAGAGGAGTCTGATACGGGATGATGCACTCTGCCAAGGGTGATAACCATCTGAGGTGTGGTGAGAGGGACAGAACAGACTCTGTGATGCTGCAGGGTCAGGACAGCTGTTTCATGTGTGTGCCAGCAGAATAAGCCTGTCCAAGCCCAGGCTGTTTTTTCCTTCATCTGCACCTGGTGCCAAGCACACTTAGCTCATCCACTTCGGGAAACCACAATATCATCAAATTAGTATCTCTCTAGCACAGCTTGCCAACAGGAAATGCAAGGAAAATAGCATTTACCCTGTGCAGAACTTGCCACCCTGGTCTTGCTAATCCCCAGGCCACTATTGCGGAGATTTCTACAGCAAAGGGAGGAAACAAAGTAGACATATTATACTTAAAGTGTGGTGGAATACAGGGACCAACATGGGCAGTGAAGTAGTAATAAGAGAAATATTAGCAGAGCATGAAGGGAAGCAGAGGGATGACTTGAAGTGCAATAAATTCAGGCGACCCAAGGTAGTCTGGGTGGAGAAAGAAGTCCTCCTGTGAGACTGGACTCCAGCTTAGATCCTGCTTATTCTCAAGTACCCTTTTAGCAGGGTCCAGAGGTCACCCCCACCCTCACTATCCCCACCAGGCACGCACCTTACCCCTGTCCCGAGACAGGACAGCGAGGGACCTCAGCCGTGCTATATGAGTTCAGTGGGGTTCAAGGAATCAGCACACCCAAAATGGTACCTGGGCTTTAGCATTTGGACTAAGCAGCAGCTCCCTAGCTAATTTTCACAAAGCCAAAATAATTTGAATTTACGAGAAGATGTAAATTTTACCTGATGGAGTGTCACAGCTGTATCCAAAATTTAAGATGTTCATAGAAAGCCAGGTGATTTTTTTTTTTTGGTAAAACTTAATGCCCCAATATCTGCCCCAGCCAACTCCCTCCCTTCCTTATGTCTCAGTCTTCCTGTTTGAGTTGATAACACTTGTACCTTTGAACTTTTGTTCTATTTTTCCCCTGAAGTCACCTGCAGCTGTATTTTTCTAATGTTTTCACCATTCCACAGGTATTTCTCCTGCTTCTCTCTTACACCTTTTGTTTCTGCAAAGTACTGTTGGTCAGATTGTGACTTTCTCTGTAGCCAAGAAATCCACAGAAATCTCAGAAATGAGATTTTCAAAAGATAGGTAGATAAACAGAATTAAGTATGGCTAGACGTGCATATAGGGGAGAAGCATGAAAATTCCTCAGTTAATACTCCTGATCATCTAGTGATATTCAAATATGAGGCTCTTGAGCACCTTAATTAGCATAATTGCAAACAAAATAAATTATACTCAAAACATTTAATACAATAAAAAGAATGGTATATTGAGCTATGAAAACCAGATGAGCCTAATCAAACCTTAACAACTTAGCCTGGGATTTTTAGAAATTCTTCCTCCTCTCTGCTTGATTTGGTTTTAGTTTAAATAGAAAAACAGATGGAGGTCAATGTTTTGTATTCAGTTTAAATGTGACCCAGGGGTATTTCAATCTCTCTAGACAAATTGATTTCGAAAGAACCTAAGTGTTTAGTCAATATCTAATGGTGATTA